CAGAAGAAGCAAGCAGCAATACAGAAACATGCAGCAGTTTGACCCGTGATCTGTCCCGCGTGTAAAATTTTTGTAAGATTCAGTGTGTACGTTCAGTATCGTCATCGAAGGTGTCTTCCGTGTATCGTTGCTTTTTCTCCCAGTGTTCAGCGTCACCTTCCCGTGTCTTCAGTATTCCGGATCGCTGGCATTCAGTGTGCCCCGCGGTTCGCGTCCTGTAGCCCAGTTCAACAGTGTCTCACTGCATTCCAGTTATCAGCACCTTGTCCGCAGCGGTTGTCGCTGCAAGCGCTCGATTTAACCCCGTCGCCCCACCAAATCGCGTGTAATCTTGTATCTGTATTGATAAAGTTTGTTTGTTCACTCCAATCTGTACGCTACGCGCCGCAGTACAACAGCAGTCATCCAAGTTCTCGTCCGAATCTCGTCGTACCAGCATCGTCGTCATCGTCGTCCTCATCGTCCCCATAACATATTCCCAAAGTTTCAGCCATGTAGCTTTTGTAGGTCTTGGGATGAAAATTGAGTGCAGACAAATACAAAGACATACACACAGAAAACTTTTCCTCAATACGCGTTTTCTGCATTGCACAGATGCAAAAAAACCCACAAAAACCGATTCAGCTTACATCACGAAGATGGGAAAATTTTTGGACCGCTAATACGCGAAATTATTACTTAAATATTTCTTGACATTGAGAAATAAGGACTACCAGCTGTATAGAGCAAGGCGACATTTGCTCGGGGTAGATTTTAGCAACTTGCCTGAAAACGTCATTCAAAAAAAGTAAAAAAGTGAAGACGTTCTGTGTCGACGGTGAAGTACTTCAAACGCTTATTTCAGCAGAAGGCATTATGCGCATATGGATTAATGTAAAAACTCACGAAAAAACATGATCGTAACGGCACTAGGCTTGCAGTTGCGATCGTGCTTTTTCGCGTGATTCTATCCCCTAGAGAGATCGACTGTACTATAGAGTTGTGAATGCGGTGATACGGTTTGAACGTTTGGTGCAGCTGTATATAGGAAGTGCCTAAATAAAAACTCATTTTACTCTTGCTGGCTCGCACATGAACAACAGACATCCTCAGTGGGTAGTACAGTGCCCTAACTTCACTCTCCATTGCACACATGCAAGGTTCAAGCATGGTTTAAAGCTGAGTTTGAAATCTTTAGTTCATGCAGCAGCAGAGAATATATTTATGAAACTTCAGCCCTTATCTTGTCT